AGCAAGCATCATGAAGGATATACACTGTGGCCATCAACGTATTCATTCAGTTGGAATTCTATGGATGTGGGGCCTCAAAAGGATCTTGTTGATAATGAAGACATATATCTAATAACAATAACATTTTGCATTAAATATAAACATTCTTATACGTATTACTTTTTCTGAAATAGGTGAACTGGCAGAAGCAATTCGAAACAAGACACATATAAAATTCGGCTTGTATCATTCATGGTTTGAATGGTACAATCCTCTCTATGTAACAGACAAAAGAAACAATTTTACAACAGATAGATTCGTCACCCATAAAGTGATGCCAGAATTCCGTGAGCTGATAGAAACGTACAAGCCGGATATAGTTTGGTCAGATGGAGATGGAGAGGCAACGGATACTTATTGGAAATCAAAGGAATTTTAAGCCTGGCTATACAATGAAAGTCCTGTAAAAGATACAGTAGTGGTGAATGATAGATGGGGCATTAATATACCATGCCATCACGGTGGTTTCTTTACATGTGCTGATCGTTTTAATCCTGGTAATTTATTATTATGCTTGTTATAATTAGAATTATCTAAATTATCAAAATGTAAAAGAGAGTATATTAATGGCAATTAATAGATATTATTTAATAACTGATTAAATTGTTATATTAACAATAATTTGCTTCCCAGGTGTACTTCTTCCACGTAAGTGGGGAAACTGTATGACTATTGACAACAAATCCTGGGGATATCGCAGAAACGCTGTTTTATCCGAATACTATACATTGGCTGGATTAGTAAAGGAATTAGTAATTACTGTAAGCTGCGGTGGAAATTTACTGTTGAACGTTGGGCCAACAAAAGATGGTATTATTACACCAATATATGAAGAAAGATTGCGTGGAATGGGTAAACATCTTTTATATCTTATCATATTTTTTTATTATAATGTCTTGATCGATTCAGATATCAATTTTCTGATAATCTTAATGATATACAAGTAAACTTTTTGTTTTAGGCGCTTGGCTAGCAATTAACGGCGAAGCTATTTACAATACTAAGCCTTGGACAGTACAAAATGATACCTTAACTGGAAGTGTATGGTACACTATAAGTAAAAATGAAAAACAGCTATATGCCTCCATTCTAGAATGGCCTCAATTCTATAATATCTTATCGTTAGGCTCGCTTAAACTTTCGGAGAATTCTCAGATACATCTACTTGGTTATTCGTCAGTAATTCCTGTAAGTGTATTACTACTTTTACCAACCTTTATGTTATAAAAATGGTGATAAAATAATTTTGAACATTTATTTCAGTGGAAACAATCCGATAATAAGCTGGAAATAAGTTTACCTCTTAACGCACACAAAGGACAGCCAGCTTGGGTATTAAAGTTTAAGGAAAATAATCATTGAATGGTTGAAGACACAGTATTTTATATATAGATATAGATTTTCATCAATATATGCATATGTATTTACTGTATACGTATGTAATACATGTACTTACTAAGAATATATTTCGTCTGGTAGACAAGTTTGGAATTAGAATTAGAACTATTTAGAAATGTACTTAAATCATGAAAAATAATAAATCTTTATTAAAGTACTTGGCTGCCATCCCGTGCGTCTTAAAAGTTTG